AGTGCACCATACTGTGTTGTAACGGAATATATATATATTAGTGCATCATACTGTGTTGTGACTGACGTGCGTTTAAAGTGTGGCCAGTACGTCAAGTACTGTCACAAACTGATGGAAGTCCACGGGTATAGCTAGATTGTAAAAAGCTTTCAAATATTTATATCGAATAAAACTACTGTATGAATACAGAATTCTGGACGGAGCATCCCTGAAAGAATTGATTCAGGCACACTGTCATTTCAGGTACCACCTGTCAGATATATCAACTCAAGATTTCTTTACGTTGCTCGTAAACAAGTAAAGTAAGCAGTGAGAAGAACGAATATAAACAGAAGTAAAATGAGAGTCGCTTGATAGTCATACCCGTTGGAGGGGGTCTACGACCTTATTCTCAGCCATGTTTAAAAGGACTACGTCTCAAAAAAGTCTAGTCAGGTGCAGAATGCACACAATGCCTTTATGGGCTCATACTTGATATACTGTACACAGGGGCGTATATTGTATTTAGAAGAAAAAATAAATGACACACTTTCTCAATTACCAACGATTTCATTGGCTATGCAGCCATGCTTTGTTTATTTATGTTTTTGTGTAAAATGTAAATAGTAGTAGCAGTAAATGAATAACTGTTCTTAGGTCTCTTGCTAGTAGAGTAGTCTTCACATAGAGTAAAATTTATGGGTACATATTGGCATAGTGATATTGAATTACGAAGTGTCGTTCCCTCCTACTCTAGTTAGCGAGAGGTGGAAGGTACGTACTGCTTTCTCATCTGTAGAATAGTCAGTTCGTTTGGGTACGTACTTCATTCTCGCATCGAAAACATCTTTATTGTGGAAGCGTCCACCATGTAATTTCATACACACGGACGTAAGCTTGTTTTTACCTTTGGAGTCATAACTGTATTAAGAAACCCCAAATACATTCTTCTCTAGAGGTGTATCTCGATTTCGAGTAAGTGGCCAGTCTGACAAGTCAAAGAATGTCAACTATGCAAGTTAGGTACTCCAAACAAAACACAGGCGCCTTGATGCTTTGCTTCAAAATCGTATCATTGGAATATATACTCATATAGACTAGTAGAATGGGAGATTCGTTTTGTAAATAACGGTCATCAAGCTTGAAAGCCCGAGAAATATTTGTCGCGTGTTGAATAGGACACAAACACAACTGAAAAGTGAAAACAAGCCCAATTTGAATACTCAGTAGTACTTAAAATTACACCTTAAGTTCTAAGATAAATAAAAATACATTTCAACAGCGATATAGCAACAAGCGAACAGCAGAAGAGCCTATAATAATAACGCGCTCGATTTGTTCCAGTTGCACAGCTGCGGCCTGCAGACCTCTGGGCAGCTGGTTACTGGCGTGCAGTGTATTTACTATTTATTTTATAGTTTTAAAAATACCACAATATGCTACAAGTAACTAGTACATAGTGGCATTAATTATCCGCAACTGTGCTCTTTGCAAAATAGAGCTCTCCAGAAAGTGATCATGTAAATACTCTTAATATATATTTAAATACACTACACACTCCAATACCCGACTACCCAGGGCCAGAACCCGCTAAATAGTCAATACCATAGCCTTCTAAAATACACAAAATACACAGTATCTTCAAATACACAGGCTTCAGTAAACAAGCAGATTTATAGCAGACTCTAGTAGTAGTAGACAGTAGACACCGCAGTCTGCACACTCTGCACTCTGCAGTCTACACCCGCCCAGATATAAACCAGTTATTACTATTTTTTACAACACAGATTAACATGCGCCTATCATTGGGACGACGGCACATGAGTGTAGGGTTACAAATGTAGGGTTTTCTGAAAAAGCGCTGATGCCGGAAAGTTAGATTATAAAGTGACTCACAAATCATCGCCAACCAATAGCATTCGGATATCGCCCGATTTATCTGATGGTATCTGATGGGACTTCATGTATGTACATGTTCTGCGTTGTCTTTGCGTCTCAGGAGTCTGGGGCGTTTTACTGACCAGGTCAGCGACCAGTGGGCGAAGCTTCGCATATTTACATACTTTCGTTTGAGGCTTTCTTAGGCGCTACATATTTTCTGCCTCTGTCTTATAAATACAAATGCATATGCGTCAATAGTCAACACTCCAAACCGTTTAGCTATCGAATATCAGTCGAAAGCTAATACACTTTCCGATGTTTGTCAATAACTGGGCTTCGATGCGAAGCTTAACTGGTGCCAGCCGCTTACCACTGCGTCGTATTCTGGGTAGCTCGCTACCGATATCTGTCAGCCGAAAATGTGCCTATTCTACACAGTTGTCTAAGGTATGTGGCATTGTAAATATACGGAGTTCATATCCACCAGTATGTTACTGAATTGTGGGAACTATTCCACTACGATGTAGCCGTATAACCACTCTACTTTTTCCGAGAGCGGGGGGTAGGATATTCTCTCGCGTGAAGATGCTAAGCCTCTGTTTCTGTTTTGAGGATTGGTGATCATTTATGTCTATACAAAATACATCTTTTTTAGGCTCTTCTATCAAATTGAAAAGGACCGTTACAGCTGTGAGTATCCTTTTTCGCCATCCACTAAATTTATCGTTGCCATACCTGCCATACCACTCTAAATATCTGCTTTTTAATACGAGCATAATGCTTGTCTATTTTACTTGCACATGCACTTGCAGTAAGGCGAAGGTACAACCAGGTAGTTTTGAACTGACATCACTACATCACCAAATAATTTATATCTACAGGACAAAAAAACTATCTTGGATCGTCTAGATCCTGCCCCCGATGCCGAGGGGTTGAAGTACTATCAAAATACATTCCAGCAGCCTCAAATAGGTATGTTTTGCATCAAAAGTTGTACAAGGAATAGCACGAAGTACAGTTCTTGCGCGGGAATCTCGAGCGTGGAGGTCTATTTAATATATATATATATATATATATATATATATATGTATAATGGTTATACTCCGGCAGAACTACAATTATAATATTCGTTCATATGACTGACATGTAAAATCTTGAAGCATACACATTTAATCGCTACCATCACGCTACACATAGTACAGAACTAAACTGTAAATTGTAAGTGTATGTATAAAACTCTCGCAGTATGTACAAGTATCATGCTGGTCATTGCAACCTTACATTATTCAATTGGAACATCCAATCTGCAGCTCTGTGATTTGTTTAGTTTCTTCAATTGCTACGGTTAATACATATCAACATATATGCTACATTTATATGCTCACATTGTATACACTGCTGTCATTTAGGCCTCATTCAACAATATGGGTGAGTGTATGTCGTATGTTATGTATTCAAACATTCACCCCCCTCGAGTTCGATTTGTAAATATATATATATTTGCTACCTGTATACACACAACCTCACAATTTGTGATTGCATTCTGTCGCACACAGCTGTTGTGAAGGTAGGTGGAGCAGTCATCACGGACTCACTGGGCGAGCTAGTATCTGCTTTGAAGGATTTGCACAAAAGCAACTTGATTCCTGTGATCGTACATGGGGGTGGACCACAGATGAACCAGCGACTGGAATCGGAAGGCGTTGAGCCTGTCTATGAGCAGGTATGGTTCCTACAGAAAAGATACCGTATGTGAATAATATATACTTGTATATACTTGTCTTCTATATATATACACACACATATATATATATATATATATGTGTGTGTGTGTGTGTGTGTATAGCCTTTGTCTGAGGACAGAATTCATGGGGATCAAGGGATTTATTTCTACAATCAAGGGCATGAAATGTATATTTTGCAATATATGTCGATAAGAGAGAAAATTGTTGTATGTTGTACTGTGATAATTTATTTGTTAAGAGGTATACCGTGCTGCCTGCACATACCTTTCTGGAAGGTACTACTCAAACATTGAACTTCCGAAAAGAACAACAAAGAAATATTGAGTAACTGAACAGTTAGGTTCGAGAACTTGACAATTGTACGACAATCAATTAGTAACTAGACAAATTGTAAACTAGTTGTCTAAGTTATCTATCTGCTATATTTGACAGGGTATGCGCGTGACAGATAAAGCAACGCTGAAAATCGCCGAAGAAGTGTTTCAATCCGAAAATGACAAAGTTGTACAGGTAAGCAAAGATGCTAGTTGATTTGACTCGATTTTGCGTACTAGATGTTGTTCAATTTGTGGCATGGAGTGCTAGTGAACTTTGCATAGGCATCTGTCTCTCAGATCGGCTTTTATTCCGGGTATCGGAATGTCACCAAGAGCGGATGCGTCACTTGTGTACGTACTTATTCGCACGCTCACCGAATTCCAAATTAATCTGGTCAATATGCAAATCTCTATGAATACGTTCAAAGCTAAAGGGAATTTTGAATTGACAATTAAACGTCTTTCACCAGTTTTTACGGAACTAGCTGTACTACCGCTGTTCGGTTGATTTGGCATGCGTCCTTATCTGCAATCTAATTCCACATAATTTGTGTACAATAACTATTGATTATCTTTCACCTCTTACATAAATTCAACCCACAAATACACTTCATCACACAGGCGTTGAAAACAGCTGGTGTATCGGCTCAAGGGTTTGTTGGAGATGGTATGCTACAAGGCAAGTACCTCGACTTTGCCAAATGGAAATATGTGGGCAAGATAACGAGTATAAACCAGGTATGTGAGTTACATGGAAGGCGTACTAAATTGGGAGAGTGGAAGTTGGGTCTATTCTGCGTGTATGTATATTTTAGGACGCTAAACTCGTTTGCGGCACTGTCGCTTCTCTAGAGCCACATCGCATGTTATTGTGAGGCATTCAATTCGTTCATACCTACTACTTATTGCAGCCACATACATTTGTTTAATCTCACATATTTGGTAGATTCACATGTTTATAGTAGAATATCGTAACTCGATTGAGCAAGCTGCACGATTGGATCGAAAGCCACAACCCATTTTTGTTGCAGTTCTTTCTGTTTTAGAGATTTATATATATACATCTATATATCTATATATATGTATACGTATTGGTATACATATTCTCACGTGTTCAAACCCATACTATTTCAGCCCAAGCTGCGCGACCTAGTCAAGAGCAAAATCATCCCTGTGATTGCCAGTCTTGCGGCGGGTGACGAGGGTTACTCTTTGAATGTTAACGCAGACGTTGTGGCGGCCTTTCTAGCACGATCGCTTCAGCCGTTGAATACCGTAAGTAATGCTTTTTTTACGATGATCCCTTCTCTGTGAATTTCATATGAGTCCAGAATAAGCTTGTTCTGGGTAAAACACCTTGGTAACACAGAAGATATGTTTGGCGTTCTATCTTGATATTGATTATAAATATACATACAGAGATAGGTTCTGCATAAAAACTCAAACACGTACATGTGCAAATTTAGAAACTTAAATGGCCCAATTCTGGTATCAATACACAGATATACACGCACACAAGCACACATACAGAACTATAAAGCCTTTATCCTCTAAAACCCTGAAAAATATCGGTAAACTAAGATATATCCATGCACTCACGCACGAACAGGAACGCACTAACACAACATATATACACATGTTCATCCCTTGCACAGGTGTATCTCAGCCCTGGTGGAGGTATTTTCGATGATCAAAAGCAACTGTTACCCGAGATCAATCTCAAAAGGGACTGGGATATGCTGATGGCAAAGCCCTGGGTGAAGTTCGGAACCAAGCTAAAGATCGAACAGGTGAGAGATTTGCTGATGGTATATAGATTCTGCATCGTGCTAGTGGAGCTTTCTGCATACACACAATATCCTACCTGTTTACGCGAGACGAATTTTTCAGAAGTCGATTCATCTATGCGCTATAGATACGTTTGATTATGTTACAAGTTGCAAGTGTTCTGTAGGTTGTTGAGTGTATGGAGGTCTGAGTGCGTGAATCATGAAAACAGTCAGTCGAATACCATAAACGGATGCCATTCTAAGCTGCTGTAGCCTAATTTTTAGCGGACATTGTGTCGTTGACGTTGCTAGCGCCCTACGACACTGATTTTGTGTGAATTGGAAGATAGAGTGGAAAGAATTGCAGATGCTCTAGTGTGCAGCTGTTATCTGTGCGTGTTTAGTTTGAAATCCGTTTCAATTCATTCTTAGAATAGAAAGGAGCAGAAGTGTGTATACGTAGTTCTTTTTGTTAGGTTAAAAAAAACTGTCTTGTACCCCTGGCAAGCTCCTTGCAAACCAATCTGTGTTTAATTCTCAACTTAAATGTTTGTTGGTTTATCTTCAGGTGCGAGATATTCTGGCAGATGCTACGGATGGTGACGCCAAAGTCAATCTGACTTCACCCCAACATCTGCGTCGTATTCTAGTGAACGATCTTGCGCAACTGCAGCTGGGTACTACCGTGCACAAAGGAGAGCAGACAACCGGTGAGTATAAGGCATATTAAGCAAAACATCATCTCTGTTGCTGTCATGCCAATTTATCGATTCATGCTTCTATGTATGCGGAGAACAGTGATAGCCTTGGGAGTGAAACAACCGTAGCCTGCAGCATCCCTAGTAATTCGCATCGTATTCATGTGTGTGTACTGACTTCTGACTTTGCTCGACAATCGCAGAGTCTTCGTCGGCGAAAAAGCGCATTGGTATCATCGGTGCACGAGGCTACGTAGGCAGAGAGCTCATGCGCATCATCCAGTCACACCCTAACATGGATATCGCATGCGTTTCGTCTCGTCAGTTTGTAGGCCAGCGCGTCTGCGATACTATCGAAGGGGTATGTTCACGATCATGTCATTTGCATTGTTTTGGTACATGTATCCATGAATTTTACACATCTGAGTATATTATATCCTATTGTTGATATAATACACACTTGTCACTCATAGATATCATATGTGCGTCTCTTCAGGTACACATTCCTCTGAAATACACAAATCTCTCCCCGGACGAACTCGGCACGACTGAGGGCATAGATGCTTGGGTTCTGGCCCTTCCCAATGGATTGAGCGAAACCTACGTTACAGGTAGGCTATACACTATTGCTAAACGGTTCTAAAATTTATGTATAGTACCCTACCATACGCAGCTATCCATTCATGTTGTGGTAGGATTTGGTTTAGTTGTACGTGATTTATTAAAAGGCAGTAATGGTGATTTAAAAGGGAGATGAGCCTCTATAAATCAAGCATGTACGCCTACCAGAAGCGTTGAATGGATTCTGTAATCTGTACTCAGCGATGTATCTGCTATAAGTAAAGCCTGCTGCAACTCTGTATACACACCTATCTAAACCGGAATTGCTTTATCGTACTCATGCCATAAACCCGATGTCCACACAATAATAGCGCTACAGGGTGCACACCAGAGTAAAGGTACCATGCCTGTGGTAGTTGATCTCAGTGCTGACAACCGATTCACGGACAAATGGACATATGGTCTCCCAGAGAGATATCGTTCTGATCTGACTAAGGCCAAGCTTATCAGGTGTGTCGACGCATGAGGTTATTCGTGCTGTGTGGAAGTGCATGTGTATGCGATTGTCGGTCCCCATTCGGGTTGTCAGGTGAAACACAGTATTCTAATAGTTGTACCTCAACCCCTCGAGAACCCCTCTCACACACGTACAGAACCTCATCATGCTCATGCATCAATTTATCCAAATCTACACCCTATACAGCAACCCAGGGTGCTATGCAACCGGTGCCCAGCTGTCCATTCTTCCACTTAAGGACAGCCTTGCCAGTCCACCCGTAGTGTTTGGTGTGTCTGGCTATTCGGGTGCGGGTACTAATCCGTCGCCGAAGAATGACCCAGCGTTCCTTAAGGATAACTTAATACCATACGCGCTGTCCAATCACATCCACGAGAGAGAGGTGACTCGTCAGGTAAGGGTTTATGCTCACCCAGACTTTTTAACGGGATATTGGCCGGCTTTGGTGGAACATAGCTACACACTGTCGGTCTATATTGAGGCGGATGATGTTTTAGTTGTGATACACATGGTTTTTATTGTGTCTGTCAACACTACGCACTTGATTGACTATATTTTGTAGATGTTCAGGTCGACACAGTCACAAGTTGGTCAGAAAATACATATCACAACGTATGTGCTGCCTGTTGTGGTACATTCTATACATATACATCTGAGGAAGGCACAAACGTCGTGTCTAACTACATCCCCGTCGAAGAAATCATTGCCTCGCTGACATCCTCACAAGTTGGCTAGAAACACCACTACACATGGCACGTGATGTCTATATACCTTAATGATATACATTGGCATAGAGGCAAACAATATAGTCTCTCCCCTTGACTATAATTTCTACATTACACAGAGGCAAGCAATATAGTCGCCCCCTTGACTGTAATTTCTACATTTACACAGAGGCAAGTAATATAGTCGCTCCCCTTGACTGTAATTTCTACATTTACACAGAAGCAAGCAATATAGTCGCTCCCATTGACGGTAATTTCTGTTTATTCTGTACAGGTTGGCCAGAACATTCACTTCACGCCGCATGTTGCGTCGTGGTTCCAGGGTATCTCGCTGACCACAAATATACAGTTGAGCCGTCCAACAACCTCGGAGGAGGTGTTCGAGATCTACAAGAAGGTATGTGACTGCTTGCTTGTGTCAAAGATCAAAGCGTCTGTATACGTTAATACGTGCTATGAATCGATTGTTCGGTAGGTAGAGAGCTGAAGAATGTATGATAACTGGCTTGTACTACCATGCACATATCAGATTATCGTACTTCAAAGTGATGTACAACCTCTCTTGCTATCGCCTTCATGTTGTATATTCATAACGATAATGGCGAAGTGGTCTTTTTGGTGGTAAGATTCCAGGCTTGGTATTTCATACACTCTCACGAGTGTTGTCTGTTCTGACGTGATCATCGACTTGAACTCACACATTGACTATACACGCCCATTCTTGTGTACAGGCTTACGAAGGAGAGCCTCTGATCAAGGTGACCAAGGATGTACCCTTGGTTCGCGACAACGCTGGCAAGCACCACGTGTGTGTGGGAGGCTTCGAAGTGAGTGCGACCGATCCAAGCCGTGTCGTGGTTGTGTCTACGTTGGACAATCTGCTGAAAGGTGCTGCAACACAGTGTGTGCAGAACTTGAACCTGGCATTAGGCTTAGAGGAGACGGCAGGTATTTCAACCGAATGAATACAATATAATTTAGTGGAGACGAGAGTCATAATATAATATCAAGCATTATAAACGAATAAAATATAATAAAGTTAGTATTTAAATATGTGTTGTTACTATATGTTTCTTTTTCTAGCAAATTTAAACCGCAGTATGAACTAAGTAGCGCGTAGATGATATCTTTTTGACACACTAAGCATGTAGCTGGCGTGGATATGTATCTGACGAAAATTTGTCGCGTGATGTCGCCATACACAAGCGCACTGAAGCCAACCTATGTGTAATATATAAGGTTCTCAAACGACAATGCAAACTCCAGTAGTCACATGCTCGTCTCAAAGATTAAGCCATACAAGTCTTAAGTATAAATGTTTGTATTGTGAAACCCTTTGCTTTATTTTTACTATGACGATACTCGCATCTTGATTGTCATCAGAGATTTGTTCCCATCCGTTTTCGCGCTCCGACACTCTCTAATGTCCCATAATAGGCGATGGCATTGCCACGGGATTCAGAAGTAGACTTCAAGCGAAATATATCTGGTACATGCGAGGGTGTAACTTATTTCTGAACCAATTTCCTCACTTACACACATGCACTTGATTACACTCTCGAGAAAACATCCTTTTGAGATTCGCAATCGGAAATCCGATTTTTCCGCAATACAGATGCTGGGGACGAACAGGCCAGCGCAACCATGTGATATGGTTATTGCATCAACGCAGCTATGCATGCAGCTAAGCGATTGGTAGATGAATCCAACGAAGATCCTGCTTGGTAGGTAGATACAATCTGTAGTATACTACGAAATGCGTAAATATATGTACGCATCTTGCACAAGGATACATAGCATTACAGCTGTAAGTTCCGATATATAAAGGACAACCGACGGGACTACTTCAGTAAGGCTGCGGAGTGGTGGCAACGCTTATGAGAACACCTTGCATTGGTACAGTAGGTGCGAACAATACACGCACTATCTGATGGTGGCCATTTACCTATTGATCCTTGCCAACAAGAGAAGACTACTAACCGATTACATAGGCTGTTCGGCTTTAAATGTGAAACATGGGTTTGCCATACTTGCTCAAGTCCGGCTTTCTGGCATTCATGCGAAGGGTTCGTTATCTTAATACTACACCGCAATCACCACAAAAACTGGGTATCCAAGTGTATGCAATTGGGACATGCACATATGTGCCTGTGAATAAACTATATCAATCCGGCTTGTCACTGTCAGAATAAAGAGCACGATAGATGATCAATATATAAAGCGAAACTTCAGTGCCTTACTTTCAAATCAAGACGAGTGATTGGTGCAAAATACTACGGGACAATCCGAGAATTAAAGACTGTAGCAATGTAATTGATTCAAGCAATCTATGTGATATATATATATACAGATATATATATACATACATATATATATATATATATATATATATATNTATATATATATTNTATAGTAGTTAGTTGTAGGTTGTGGTAGTTGTTGTGTATATATATATAGTATNTAATNTAAGT